GTTATGCGAGTGTTTATGCAAGTGTTATGCGAGTGTTTACGCGAGTCACATGCGAGTGTTTACGCGAGTCACATGCGAGTGTTTACACGAGTTACATGCGAGTGTTTACGCGAGTGTTTACGCGAGTCACATCCGAGTGTTTATGCGAGTGTTTACACGAGTCACATGCGAGTGTTTACGCGAGTCACATGCGAGTGTTTACGCGAGTGTTTACGCGAGTCACATGCGAGTGTTTACGCGAGTGTTTACGCGAGTCACATGCGAGTGTTTATGCGAGTGTTTACACGAGTCACATGCGAGTGTTTACGCGAGTCACATGCGAGTGTTTACGCGAGTGTTTACGCGAGTCACATGCGAGTGTTTACGCGAGTCACATGCGAGTGTTTACGCGAGTCACATGCGAGTGTTTACGCGAGTCACATGCGAGTGTTTGCGCGAGTCACATGCGAGTGTTTGCGCGAGTCACATGCGAGTGTTTACGCGAGTGTTTACGCGAGTCACATGCGAGTGTTTACGCGAGTGTTTACGCGAGTCACATGCGAGTGTTTACGCGAGTGTTTACGCGAGTCACATGCGAGTGTTTACGCGAGTGTTTACGCGAGTCACATGCGAGTGTTTACACGAGTGTTTACGCAAGTGTTATGCGAGTGTTTACGCGAGTGTTTACGCGAGTCACATGCGAGTGTTTACGCGAGTGTTTACGCGAGTCACATGCGAGTGTTTACGCGAGTGTTTACGCGAGTACTCAATCCTCTCATTAGTTTCCTCTGTGTCATCTATAAAGATGATTGACAAGTTCACTTCAGCGTATTGTGGCTTTATTTGTAACGGTCGAGACACACAAACACTATAGCCGTCATATTCTACATTAATATTAATACTGCAGCAAATTTAAACGTGTGTGAGTGTGTAACACTTAATATATAAATTTCATATTTCTTCATGTCAAAATTATGATTTACAAAAACATGATTTATTTATTTTCTCTTATGTGGTGTAAATGATCGTCTCTCTGTGTTTATCTCTGACTCTCTCCTCAAACACAGACGAGTTATCAGGGATTCTGAGGAAACTTTCTCTGGAGAAATACCAGCCCATCTTTGAGGAGCAGGAGGTTCGTCTGCGTGTGTGTGTGTCTGTGTGTCCGTGTGTGTGTCCGTGTGTGTGTGTGTGTGTGTCTGTGTGTGTGTGTCTGTGTGTGTGTGTCTGTGTGTGTGTGTCTGTGTGTGTGTGTCCGTGTGTGTGTCCGTGTGTGTGTGTCTGTGTGTGTGTGTGTGTGTGTGTCCGTGTGTGTGTCCGTGTGTGTGTGTGTGTGTGTGTGTCTGTGTGTCTGTGTGTGTGTGTCTGTGTGTGTGTGTGTGTCCATTTAAACTAAGTAATGTTTCTACTTTCTGCACAGGGCTCACATTCATAATATACCTGAAAAAAGTGGATGTCACTGTCAGTCTTTCAACATTCCTATCGTAAAACTGTTGTCAAATATTACATTTTTGGCTACTTGTATATCTTACACTCTTTCCATGTTCACTTTTACACTTGTGCATTTAGCAGATGCTTTAATCTTACGTGTCTTTAAACCGAAGCATGTAATCCCTCCTCCGCCTCTGTGAACACGAACGCCTCCTTGGCTCTGATTGGCCGAGTCATATTGACGAGCGCTGTCAGACTGCGGAGCAAGAGCAACTTTTAAAACGTTTAGTCTTCCAGGCAACAAACAGAATATGAAATATTGTGTCCGTATGTGATTATTCTGGGTGTGTTTATGGCTGTGCTGGACGCAGGTGGACATGGAGGCGTTTCTGACGCTGACGGACGGAGACCTGAAGGAGCTGGGCATTAAAACTGACGGACCACGACAGCAGATCCTGGCGGCCATTTCAGAGCTGAACGCTGGCAAAGTGAGTTTCTGCTCCTCGGTTTGAACTACAGGCTCAGTTTAACTGTGAACGTGATGAATATCTTCTCATGACAGGGGAGGGAAAGACAGATCTTACAAGAAACCATCCATAACTTCCAGTCTTCATTTGGCAGCAGCGCCAGTAACCCTCGGCCCGCGGGGCGCCCGCGCTGTGAGTGACGCTAACGAACACATCGTTCCTCAACACTGATGCTTAAACACACTGATCTTCTGTCCGCTCACGTGTGTCTGTTACTGATATTAGAGGCTTTTTTAATGAAATGTTACAGTGTTTTCTGTAAATGTCAGCTGTGCATCCATTACTTTGCTCTGGTGCTCATAACCTGTGGCCGGCATGACAGTCTAAAGTCAGTCTTGATCAGTACCAGCAACCACTCATGCTTAGCAACACCCTAGCAACAGCGCACATGGTCTTGGTGTGTGTCGTCCTGATGAAGTGTGTGTTCAGCCCCGTCAGGCTGGAGTCGACACCAGCTGCAGTCCAGCAGACGCTGAGGGAAGAGGGAAGATCGTGATGAAGGTGTAATACCCTCGCCTCACGCCAGGGGGCGCCGCGGGCCGCGTGATAATCGGTCATGAGCGCTGAGAGCCACTGGACCTTCAGAAGCTTTTACACGGATCCGTCTGATGTGTTTCGCTCAGAGGACAAGACTGATGGATATTCTGTTCTGTAGTTGTGCAGGACTATCATTTATTATCATTATTATTTTGTGTTTGTTTTGTACTTATGGAGTGTGTTTAAGCACATTTGTCTTTCACTCTTCTGAAACTGTTTCAGTGCATCTTACAGTGAAAATAAACATTTTCTCAACTATCTTAATGCTTTTGGTACATTATTAAATCCCCCTGTAGTCAATAATTGTATCCCTTAAAACTCATCATTGATCACCAAAATTACACATTTAAAAAAAATTCCTTGAATTTTTTTTATTCATGCCTTAAAACATCTTGAATGTAACTCGACACCCTTGCCTCATTTAGTATGCGCGGTTCTATGAATATGCAAATGAGCCCCGCCTCCACTCACTCCCTCAGCTCAGAGATCCACTGGTTGACGATCACACGTTGATCTGATTGGTTACAAGGTCGTTTGTGACGTCAGAAACACCAGCGATTTCAAACCGTGTTTTTGAGACTGTCTTTGGTTCACTGCAGTTTTAAGGAGGAAATACTCAGCAATGCTGTCGACTTATGAACTTACACATGGTGTGTCTTAAAGCTTATTAAACACCACATAGACACATAAACAACATTAAACACTGGATTTACACCACAGGGGGACTTTAATAACCCAGTTTCTAGATCATGCGTGTCGCTTCTTGATTGTGAGGATGGGTCAGATCCGCTGTCGCAGCAGAAGCTTCATCAGATCTGGGAGATTAGGAGGCCAGTGCAGCACCTTCAACTCTTCATCATCTTCATCATGTTCCTCAAACCGTTCCTGGACGAGTGGAGCATCCCTATCTCCCAAAACAGGTCAAAAGGCCCGCGTGAAAGCAAAGGATGAGAGCAAGAGTCCGATGTCTGTGAGTCGCGGATTCACTGCTTTCATCGCATTGCACTTTTGCATTTGCTTTAATTGTCCCAATACTTGTACTTGTATTTATTAAATAGGAGGATGAAACTCTAAAAGTATGTGTTCAGCCCTATATTCATCTTTTAATCATATTTCACAATGTCATACTTCCACAGCAAACTGAGCAATTTTGTCTTTACCGTCCCAATATTGTTCTGCTCTTCAAAAAAGAATGAAACTCAATTCCAGACCATGTGTGTGAAATAGATGTTAGCTCAGCAGTTGTTGTGGTCAGTGAGGTCAGTGAAGGCAGAGCCGGGTCGGGTGTGCAGAGAGTTCAGCTCCTGAATCAGTGACTCGCTTCATCACTCGATCTGCCAGCGGCTCGCTGACCTCAATAGCAGCGGATTTACTTCCAGCCGCTGAACACGCGTGATGTTTGCAAACATGCGATTACTCATGTCCCTGCTTCTTTCTGTGTGTGTTTGTGCTCAGAGACTCTGAAATCATCAGATTAAACGGAGTCATTTCTGCCAAATACATCAAAATAACAAGAATCTGAGCATAAACAGAGTCTTCCCGAGTCTGGAGAAATGAGCACAGCTGATCGCTCGTTATGATGGGCTTCGTTGAATGATTGAGTTCCTGTTCAGTCGCTTCACTCGGCACAACACGTGACACGGGACATTGTGCTCTCGGCCCATTCGCTGAAGACCTTTATCCACGCCAGAAGGGCCAATGACGCATGACGACGTGGGCGTATATATATATATATATATCTGCATATAAAGGCAGTCGCAGGCCTCATTGCCTCTGTCCTGAAGTTCTTCCCCGAGCTGCTGGAACTCCCTCATCCACGGGTCCGGAAGAAGGAAAGCCCACGCCGGCTCTCTCTGACCCGGGCATGTGTGCGACTGAAGCGGCGCGTGTGTTTAGCGTGTGGCCAGACTGCTTAACTCAAAGTTATTTACTGATCTCATCAGTGGAAGATTCAGATTTGAGATCATGTGTATAATATTAAACATGTGAAACCCCCTGAAGATTACTGTGATCATTTATTAATCACATTGTGTCATCAAATAAAACCACATGCAGCTTTATTTCCCACAGTCTTCTGTGTGCTTCCACTGTGTCTCTGGCCAGGGGTCAGGGGTCAGTGTCGGGTCAGGGGTCAGTGTTGGACCGTGTGTATCTGTGGGCCGTTTAAGGCATCAGATGTACAGTGTGTTGTGTGAACGGTTGCGTGCAGAGAGAGAGACCTGATTGTGTGTCACTACAGTGAGGGATTGTGGGAGATTAAACGGGATGATCCTGTAGAGACGGATGGGATTTATCCTGCATTGCATCACAACACTCAAATATCTCTCTCTCACACACACACACACACATACACACACACTCTCTCTCTCTCTCTCTCTCTCTCTCTCTCTCTCTCTCTCTCTCTCTCTCTCTCTCTCTCTCTCTCTCTCTCTCTCTCTCTCTCTCTCTCTCTCACACACACACACACTAAGCAAAACATGATTTAGAAGATGATGTATGAGCAAATGTCTTCAAGTTCCTTATGGTCACAGTGAGTCATTTTCAAATATTTTTTTAATTAACTAATTTATTTAGTTTTAATTGCAAAAAATAAATAAAAATAATAAGTAGCCTACACGCATGAACCGAGAAGCATGTTTGTATCCCCAATTAAAAAAACAAAAACATTTAGCCATTACAAAACGCTTGATGTGGGACACTTTATACTCAATATTGGGCAATATTATGGATCTCCTGCATTGACAGCATTATATGAGAACTGCACTGGACGATGACATCACGGTTTACTCCAGAGCCGCTATATTAATGAACTAAATTAATAACTTTTTTACAACAAAAATGAACCATCACTTAACTTACTTGGACTATGACATTATTTTCTTCAAGATCTGCTGTACAGCCGAAACAAACTTTGTTGCATTCTTTTCCTGTTATTACTGTAAAGCTGCTTTAAAACAATCAGTATTGTAAAAGCGCTATAAATAATCCGACTTTATGACACACGTCACTCTCGGCTTCCATACAGCGCGACTCGGTCCGATGTCAGTCGGTCTCAGTCGGCGCAGGAACTGCGTGAATCGCCCGAGTCGCAGTCGTTATGCAGACAAACAAAAGATAATGATACAATTCATCACAAGTGCTTTAGTAATCAAGAAAAACTTCAGAAAGTTTGAGATTTTACCACATGTAATCCTTTATTATCGTTATTGTGCGTCAAACCGCCGATGGTCGTTTCGTTTCTGCTCATTTCCAGTCGATCAGAGTGTGTTTGTTTCCTTCATTGAACTGTCGAATAATTCCCGCTTTAAATCAAGAGAAACAGAAATGAGCAGATCTGGTAAACCTCAGGAGGCTTTCCTTGAAATCCGATGTTTAAATGTTTCATCTTTCATTCCGTTAAAATGCGTCTGTCCATAACGACTTCATATGAGCTTCTGAAGAGACAGAGGCAGAGAGAGAGAAATCCCTCCCCTCAGAGTGTGTGTGTGTGTGTGTGTGTGTGTGTGTGTGTGTGTGTGTGTGTGGCTGAGAATCGCGTGCGAAGAGTCCGGCGTGTCATTCTGTGGAATCCGCCACCTGAAACACAGTATATAACAGCAAACACACACACACACACATGCAGTCACACACACACAGTCACACACACTCTAGCCTCTTCTCCAGCTCACTCTGCGCTCGATCTTCACACCAGGTACTTTATTTTGATTTATTGATTATTAGATATCAGCTCTCGCTTTGAATGTTTAAGAATGAATCAGCCATTCATTCATTTGATTCTCTGTTTAAACTATAGAGTCAAACTGAAAGAAGTGTGTGTGTGAGTGATGAATGATTGAGGACTGAGATGTGATATGACTGCATGCACACACACAACTGTTTATGATGATGGTTATCACTGAATGAAGTGTTGTGTGTTTCAGAGCATCAGCTGAAGATGATTCCTCCGGGAGACTGTCTGTACGCCGGGAGAAAGAGGAGGAAACCCGTACAGAAACAGTTAAGACTCGCTCTACTGTACATACAGTAGCACACACACATATATGTATTATCATGACCAGAAATCATCAGTAACATCTGAAGTGTTTAGAAATAAACTCCTCACTGAACATGATTGATTTGAAAGGATATTGAAACACTTCACTTAATGTATGGGACATTTAATTTAACATTTAATTTAATATTCAGCAATATTATTGATCTCCTGCATTGACAGCATTATATGAGAACTGATCTGAGCTGGACGATGACATCACGGTTTACTCCAGAGCCGCTATATATATAAATGAACTAAATTAATAACTTTTTTACAACAATAATGAGCCATCACTGAGCTTCCTTAAGCTGGACTGAGACGCTGTTCTCTTCTGGAAACACACTGTGTCATTATTCTTCTGTTCTCTCTGTAGAGCTGCTCTGACACACTCTGTGCTGTAAAAAGCACTATAGAAATAAAGGTGACTTGACTTAATAATAATAACGGTTATTATTATCATTATATGGTAAACAACAAAGTAATGAAAGTGTAAACGCTCACGTGACACTGAACAACATCAGAGAAAGTGAGTCAAACGATCCAGAGTTTGAAATGACTGACAAACAGATGAAATCAATATTGAGTTCAGATTAAAGCAAATTAATATTAATAAAACCTCAAAAGGGTTTAAACTGCCTGTAACTGTAGATCCATAACTCGAGTCAGCTTTATCTACAGCGCTGTACAGCTTTACAGTTTCCAGAACTAGCGTCTCAGTCCAGCTGAAGTAAGGCAGATCAATAATATTGTTGAATATTAAATGTAACTGTCCTGAGATGAAGCTTTGCCAGTATTTATGTTGATTAATATATTATTATTTATATATTAGGGCTGTCAAATGATTAATCGTGATTAATCACATCCAAAATAAAAGTTTTTTTTACATAATATATGTGGGTGCACTGTGTATAATTATTTTGTATATATATAAATACACACACATGCATGTATATTTAAGAAAAAAATACTATTTAAATATAAAATATTTATATT